GTCGACTCATGAGACGAGAGGATTGAGACTTGTAATCGAGTGTGAACGACCTGATGTTTGCTTCGTGGCCTTGAAAACACTTCTGCGTGTGCTGTTGTGAATCACAACCCTCCTGTTGGTGTTGGCAGATCTTGCCCAAGGCCAAAACTGTCGACAAAAGAGGATTGTCGAGCGCCGATCCATTTCGCGACTCTTCCCGAGGGGGCCGAGTATGGTTCTCTTCACCAGAAGCAGACGAGCGCTTGCGCTTCATCGGTACTACGTTACATGTGTTGGTGAACTTGACAGCCCCAGTAGGCTGAGCTTCCACTGTTTTCGATAAGTCGGCATCATATTGGAGAAGACGGCGTATATGTTGTAAGTCTTGTAGCTTCAGTATAGGGTAAATTGTGAGTATGTCGTCTTCGAAGCTTTGCAACAAGCCCAATCTCTGCCTTTCGCTATAGTCAGTACCGTTTTCGCATGAGTCTGACAGCGAAAGACGTGCTTGGTGCTCTCTGAGACCTTGTGCTGAGTCGTTGGAATCTTTCTCCCCCATCACAGGTGTAGCCTGATGTCCCCTCTCATACTCGTGAGTATCCCCTCGTGTGGGATCCGCCCAGGACGTCAGATCGGGCTCCTGGCTGTCCTCAGGAGAAGTCATGATCCTCTTCAACTGTGATTGTGACACATGTTGCTCAGTCGGTGCTTGTCGTGAGACCTGCTCATCTTCCAAACTCTTCAGTCTGTCGCCTATCCGGGCCAGACTGTCAAGCGTCGCGGTCTTCAAATCGAGAATTGCGTTCAAGATGGCTGTATTTGTCGTATCGATCCTTTTGAGGGTCAGGCTAGTAAAGAGGTACAAGACTATTTTGCTGACTTCGTGAGGGGATCCTTGTACTCGCAAGTTATGCCCCTCTCCCGGCAACACCTGCACGGCTTATTTTCGTCGCACTTCGACTTGAGCTGTCTACAGCTAACGCACGCCTGTTCATGTTCAGTAAAGCTTCTGATACTTAAGCTGTTGTCACACCATACTTGAGCAGTCCGCATTACCATTGCCTACTAAACGATCGGGGGTGGAGGTTGAGTATCCCGTCCAAATTGAGACTGTTTACAAGATGGAGTTCACACATCCACTACACCGTCGGTGGCTCGCTGGCGTTCACCTGGCTTGCTTTTGAGGACTAGAGAAAACCATGAGCCGAAGTCGAAGCTAGCACATGTTTGGGTGACCAGCTTCAGATACCGGTTCACAGCTCTGAATTGTGACTGTCTAATGCACCCAAGGCAGCTACACCACCAAGACTTTTCCTGGAGGGCCCAGACCCCTAGAAGACAAAAGCAGCGACCTAATAGACCGGGTTGACTGATAACAATGCATTTCCTTATTTGCTGGCGTGCAGATGACAAATGTCACTGGCTCGTGACGGCGGGGCTTTGTTACGGCGGGTGCCTCACCAGATGATAGGATGGTAAGAGGCACATGTTTTTCGGTACCTCATACTGTCTGGCTTCTCTCCGAAGATCGTCAAGACGGGCCCATGCGGCTGTAGTGGATGTTACAGGTCCTAGGAAGTCATTGGTGGCGTCCAGTAAGTCGCACATTTGCGTTTTCTCCAAGCATCTGCGCAAAGCAGAGTATGAAGGCACTGCGAGAAAGTGAACAGCACTGAGGCAGCCCACGCAGTTGAGGGGGAACATCTACTCTGGTCTTCTCTAGTCCGAATGTGGATGCCCTGTGGCGGCAAAAGCTGAAGATCAGCCTGGTCAAGCTGTGAGACCAGCCCAGCTGCTGGAACAGTCTGACGACGTGCCGGTTCGAAAGGACCAGGGAGAATGACCTCTTGACATCCATCGTCAGCAGCTTAAATGTGAGCTTCTTTGTCCAGGGCCTTCCTAAGAGTGTGGAGGCAGGTCGTTGGAGTAAAGGGCGGATTGCTGGAATACACATAGCCGTAGCGTGACGACTTCCATATTACCTCATGGCCTTTCTTTTTTGCGCCTTCAGCTTTTGGCCAATAGATGCTACCCAGGCAGACCATCGCTCTGAGGGCATGACGAGAGTGTGACGAATGGACTAATGCACCTATGACATACGAGCGATGCGTAGCAGAGAGAGCGATACCCGAAATCGACGAATTATAAGTTCCTGGCTGCTACTGAATCTAAAGAATTATCCACGACTTCAAAATTCTTATTTTTTAACTCAACACTCTGCTGACTACCTTCAAGATTCTGCCTCAGTCGAAATATCTCTCTGCTATGGCCCTCACAGACATTACCATAAAGCATAAGCTGGCTTCGCAATTGACAACGAAATCACACATTTGCAAAGTCCATCATATCACAGATTTTATTATCATCACGGAAGACGTCGGCGAGCATTTTCGACGAATCTCACAAGATTACCCTAGCGAGGATTCAGATCGCACTGGCACTTACCTTATGGCCTTTTATGCCGCCACTGGACTTTGGGAAGCCACCGACCCGAGCCATCGTGGTTGCAGTCTCGGCCACCCTTGTGCCGTGACGGGCGCAAGGACATGTGCACGGACATCATACCTTGCGAAATTTCACCACTTTTATGGAAGCTGTGTGAACTGGAGTCCCAATCACATCTTCTGTGCCGAGCTGAACTCTGATGATGAGAGACGAGCGTTCCCGGCATGTGCCGATTGCGGTGTTCTCATTGAGATCCAAGGGCTAATTCTTGCCAACCGAAGACTACTGGATGACAAAACCCAAGTCACTACGGATGAGGAATTTCGTATCGTGCAGAGGAGCCTAAGCGGATACCTACGGGCGTATCAGTTAAGGAGGGATGCCCACATTCGGGATCTGACAAACGCAAAGAATGGCTTGCTTGAGGCGGAGTTACAGTATGTCAAAACCGGCATTCTGTCGTCGAGCTCCAAGGGTGAGGCAATCGAAGGGAGCAGCGCATGATGAGAGACAGTGATGGGCAACAGTATGGGGTTCTGATAATGCAGGTGCCAATTCAGTCTTGCTATTCTGGTGCGTAGTCAGGTGCATTGGAGGCCTAGAACGTTTTACTTACGTTTGTGACTAACTGCCGCAATTGCTGTCCGTGGTCTGGATCAAGTGCTGGCCCGTGAGGAACTTGCGGGTAAGTCACCACCCGGCGGGTTTAGGAGCTAGTGCTGCAGTTGGGATATGCTTAGGAGGAAGAGACCTTCGAAACCTTATTGAACCGGCAAAAGCCATGCGTGATCGGCAAGCTGATTGCCAAGTGTCGTATAGACAACCCCTCGAGTGTACATATACACAAACATTGCTTTTTACGCCCGGCCAAGCTATTCAGGGCTACTTACATATTCTCCACCGAGACAACTCCTGCCGCCTGCTGAACGGCAAAGGCCTTAGCAGCATAGACATGTCATACCTTGCGCCGAGACATCTCCCTGCAGCGGTGACATTGAGACCGGCGAGCGATGTGTAAAATAGCGACTCCCAGGAACTAGAACTGATTGGGCACCAGCTTTTCTTGTCTTTCTGATGAACGCCACGGTCTGGAGTGGACCTGTAGCGAAGCGCCACGTTTGCGGTCAGGCCATCTTCACATCGCAACTGATGGAAGTTTGGCATCCATTGTTTTCTGTGAATCCCAGCCCTTCTAGTTCCGTCTATCTCGCGTATTTATTAAGCATCGGAAGTGAGGATGTATTCACGCATCCCTTCTAAGAAATCGCGTACCCTCGATTGCGTTTCCTCGACCCAGTCGCGGTTTGTGCAGCTGCCTGTCCGTGACGTATCAGCTCCCGCCGGATAAGGTTTTCCTTTCCTGCAAGTCCCGTCAGATATACAGGGTTGTTCGGCGTTGACGGATCTGGAATCTATCACGAATTGATCGGTAAGGACGATGAATCGCGGACTCAATCAGTTTCAACCCAAACGATTGACTGGCAAATAGTTACTACTTACTTTGGACGCCAATTTGACATATTGAGATCTACCGTCAGTCGCCGAGACACAGCAGATGGACACGTACATCGACCTGTGGCCATCGGAACCCTTCCAATTGCGCGTTAGCGGCAATAAAGAATGTCTACAGTGGTTACAACCAGACTCATCCGGGCCTACGATGGGTGCCTTGCTCTCTCCAGATGGCTTAATTAGTACAATGAGCCCTATGTACTGGGAGGCGGAAACACAGACCCATCATTCGTTCCGGCCAGAGACTTTAATCGTCCCGGACTATAATATAATGCCGGGTCTATGTATCCTTTGCTAGGAGCCCAAGTCGATGAAGAAGACTCTAGCCAGCCGGCACAATGGCCAGCTGCTATCGGGATTCTTCCTACTACGAACGCAGCCTGGTAGCACCCCTCATATATCCGAACCAAAGCAACTTCAACAGAAAGCGGCGGACCGGTAGAAAATGCCATGCACAACACATCGAACGAGGGGCGGAGGGGAAAGTCAACAACTCCTCAAGAGGCGCCCGCTGGGATGAAAACAACCAAGGATACAAGCTCCTTTGTGCCCACAGCAGGTACAACCACACACGATTTCGTGATCAGAACTGAAGAGGTCAGTCACAAAAAGCAACAGAAAAAGGGCCCATATCGCGTCAAGAACCACGCCGCTGCGAAACGATGCCGAGAAAAGGCAAAGCGATACGAGATCAATCTCGCTGCTAGGGAGATGCAGGCGATGCAAGATCGGATGTATGTTCAGGCTCATGTAATAGCGTTAAAGACCGAGGTGCTTTCGCTGAGAGATCAGATCTTGGAGCACAGCAATTGCAGGTGTGACATGATACAACGGTACATCGCCAGAACTGCCAATACCATCAGTGGTAGGGCTTTGGATGGCAGGCATTTACTTTCTGACGACGAGTGTAAGATGATTTATGCTGCTATCGTTTTGGATTATGAAGCCCAAGAACGATACGTAATGAAGGTGGAAAGGTTGCGTATCGCAAACCGCGAGGCACATAAGGAAATCGCGACGCAACAGTCAATACGGTGTAACTGAAGGTGAACGGGGTCGCCGAGGCATCGGCAGCAAAGGGTAGCTGATGAAAGGTCTCGAACCAAGTAACCTAACGAAGTCTATGTGAATAGACTATATCTCCAATGCCTAAACTACTGGGTCTATGCTGTTCATGTACCTTGCTTACGGGATCTTGGCCACGTACGGCTGCTGCCATGTTCTTTCATTTTGTTTGTTCCATTTTCTACACTTTGCCGTTTATGACGAGCAACCTGAAGTAACTGGAAAGCTAATTGCTTCTAACCAGCTCGCCGCCGCCGTGTCAGCTGTACAGTGTGTCGCCGACGAGATGGGCTGTTCGCCGTTCCCAGTTGAACCAACCCCCCATTGAGACCTTCCACGATCCGCAGCCCGATTCTTGCTTGTATTTGCATAGACCACTTCGCCAAGTTTCTGGTATCAGCGAGCCCGCTCTTCTTGTACAGTGATGAAGCCAATTTTTGTGCCCTTTTGACATGACTGTTGCTGCCGTTCATCCGTTCATCCTGTAACGCCCTTAATTGACCATATCTGCTGTGGGGAAAATTTTGATGACATTTATGGTTATATTGCGACTGTCGGAAACTGTCTGATGCGTCTGTTCTGATAGTTGGTGGGCCCCTGCCGCCTCCATCGAATTTCCCGACCCAAGTTTCGCCGTCCTCCTCCACATGAGCATTCAGATTTTGTAGGTACCAGCTCCCTGGATAGGCTTGAAGTAATGCGGGCTTGAATGTCAAATTGAAAAGGCACCATGAACGATACATTGTGTAGGCAACGCTGATCGCCACGCTGCTGCCTGGCAAGTAGTCTCATAATTAAGGCGGTATTGGGACTTCATTGGGCGAGAGGACTGCGCCTCCGAAGTCCCATGCAGCTCTTTAACTTCATTCGGTAAAGCCGTATTTCACAGTGCTAAAAACCATTACACGTGCACGCAATCGTTACGGAAAGCTGGTGATCATCTAAGTCTCGATAACAGTGACCCCGTTCCCGTAACCCGAATCCTTACCCACCCGCTCACCCCGCTCACCCGTGCTCACCCCAGCTCACCACGTTAGAAGCGGCGGGGGATCCGGGGACACCTGGGCGACATATTGGCGTCTTCTGCCCTTGAGAGCTCCACAACCACTGATGATGCCGTCCTTTTGCTGGCTGACTGGGTCAGCCAGCCTACGTACTTAATTTTTGCTCTGGGATGAATGCTTTCTTGTCCTGCAGCAGGTCGTCTCTGATTTCTGTGAAGTGATCCATGTTCATCGAGCTGGTTCTTATGCCGTGCGCTAGCACCCCGTAGGTTGGGACTCGCACCGCCGCACCCGTTGCCAATGTGGTTTCCCCAGTCCTCGGCAAACTGCCGGAGTGCCTCCATGTCTTTCCGTCGTTGCTGTCTTGATGCTCAGGTCGCCGCTCTTGAGTTGATTGGCGGACACGGTCTTGAGCTTGCAGATATGCTCGTTGCTGCTTTGTTCGATGGCGCGGTCTACGTGCGCCTTAAGGCTACGGGGGTTCATGGCTCTTATGCTGGCAATGGCGGTGGGGTCTCTAATGTTCACAATGATTTCACGCAGAGTCTGGGTCTGGGACACTCTCTGGTTGTCGGGATTATGCATGCTCCCTGCAGGTCCTCCTCGGGCGGCTACGCTGGCATATGACTGCACGGTGTTCCCCTGATTCATCGGCTCCAGTGCTTTGATATCCTTTACAACCTTGACTGCCAGCTCGCTGGCTTTCCAAGCCTCTTTGGCTGCGCGCGTTGTGTTGATGTTTTCCTTCAGTTCGACCGTGTTCTGCTGCATGGCAATCCAATAATTTCTCGATTCGCGGATGTTGTTCTCGTTGGCTGTCTTGGTTTCCGCACGTAAGCTATCAATGGCTTGGTGGAGGTGTCCGAGCTCGGGCAGGTTCTGCATATTGGCCAGCAGGGAGATGGTGGCAATGAGAGTGGCTCTCACGGCTTGCGGGTTAAGGGGTGTTCGTTTGCGGTGTCGATTGATTTGAGTGCTGTCTGAAGGTGTCTGCTAAGTTGAGTGGCGTGCTCTCGATGGTGCGTTGGCCATGTTTGCTCCTGGGGCCATGGGGTTGCCATGATGCCTACGTCGCTATGGGCTTCACGACGAGCACACGGCTATCCAATTGACCTTTCGGAGTGTGTTGTGGCGCTGTTTTTGCTCCAATTTCAGAAACTTCGTTCTCGCTGTTGTTAGTGTTTTACGGAGTTTAGTCATATGATTTGATTTGATTTGATTTGATTTGTATTATATCCTACTCGGTTTCGGCCGCTTTAGTCAGCAGCTATGCCCGGAAAGCAAGGTTTGGCCAACAGCCGACGCGTCCACGACAAGTCGCGACGCCCCACTTCGCCCTGCTGTTGAATCAAGGCCAGCTATCTCCAAATTCCTCGCTGCACTGTCTATACTCGTGTTGATTCTCTCTGTTGAAGAGTCTTTTCTTGCTGCATTGTTTTCCCCCGTCATGGTTGTTTTTCTTGCCTCGGAATTCCCTCTTTCGCGTCTTCCTGCTTCGGTTCTGTTGGTGGTAACCACCATGTCTGGTTCCGCGTACCTACAGTCTCCCCCCAGCGCTTAGCCTCGTTTGTTTCTCTTGTCTGCATCCTCTCAGACTCGCCTGTACCGTATCTCAGTTGAATCTGTAAATCTCTTTGCTGCCTCCTGCCGGGTTCCCATGTGGCTTTGTATTTCCATCTTGCGACCACCACCGCCGTCCACCGCATGGAGCCAGGCTCAATCCGCGAAACACAATGCTCCAGCCGCTCCGACTCGTCCAATTACTGAGTATGAGAGCTCGTGCACAGGTTCCGCAGACGTTGTCGTACGTTGAAGGGGCGACAATCCTTCTTTTTGCTCTCATAGCGGGTTTCGGCCAAAGGCCGACGCGTTCCGGCGTCAATCCATAGCGCCCCACTCACCAATGCAAAACATAGACGAGTTATCTCAAAGTTTCC